GAAAACATATATATAATTACATATTGTTTTTGTGATTAATCACTATGCTTTAATTATGTTCAATTTGTAACAATGAAAATACATCCTGCATATCAGATATTTACATTAGGATTCATAACAGTAGCAAAATTACAGTTATGAAGTAGCAACGAAAATAATTTATGGTTGGGGGTCATCACAACATGAGGAACTGTATTAAAGGTTCACAGCATTAGGAAGGTTGAGAACCAGTGCTCCAGGGCCCTGGATAGTGATGGGTAGGTACACAGTAGGAGTCATTGTTCGGGCTCCAAATTTTGGGGTCCAACCCCAGCAGGTCCTGGGGTTCCCAAAGGTGTGGACAGAGTCGGTGAGGAATGAATGACATGGAGACAGCAGTCAACTGATCAGCAGCCTAGCCAGGATCTCCAGCCAAGTTCTGTGTCTAGTCTAGGTTCTTGTTTGGACAAAGGATCGGGGAGGGAGGAGCCTCCCAGAATGCCAGGCACCAGGCCCAGTGCAGGGAGGAGGGCCTGGGCGCAGTCGTCCAGCACCAACCCCTCCCGTGGCTCTCCAGCCACAGCCCTGCTTACACCCCCCCAGCAGCCCTCTCCCCGCGCCACGCCACCCTGTGCCCCTCCCGCATCAGTTCCCGGACCCTCTCCAGGCCATGCCCAGAGCCGCTGCCACTTTCCCCCTGCAATCCCACTGCCAGCCTGGCGTCTCTCATAGACCTGACCACACACAACTGCACCTCCTTGCCATACACACCTACTTCCCACGACTTTTCTGGACATTCACACATTTTCAAAGAAATTACTACAAAGCACTGGATTACAGCACAGTGTCGACGACGACCAGGTTAGGGCTCATTGGGTCTGTCTGACCCACGATCAGTCATTGTTTACTTTGGATCTGCATCTCTCCACTTACTGTAAGTTGCAGAAGAGCAAAGACCACATCTATCTTAGTCACCACTGTGTCCTCGGTTTATCACGGAGAGAATGGCACATGTGGTACTTGAAAAATCACAAAAAAACGCTTCATCTTGGAAAGAAGCATCTGCCGCACGCACCGCACGCCTGGGTTTTACATACACCAGCACCGCGTTACCTGGGTTAAGCGTGTCGCTGTCCAACATGCCTCCTTCACAAAAGCCCTCCAGCTCCTCAGGCTTCACTTTGTCCCAAGGAACGTAGGTCACACCCAGCTCCACGTCCCAATACTGCTTGTAGTCCGCCTTGATGCCTTTGTTTAAGGCCCAGGCGATCTGTTCACCACGAATTCAATAAGGAGAGAAAGGGACACAGGGAACGCTGTGAGGTTCGAGAGTTCAGTTCCCCCCGTTCTACTCGCTCAGACTGGGGCAGCAGGGGCATCTGGCCTCGCGGTCCTGGGCCTTATCTGCCACCAGGAAAGCGGTGCCCACTCGTCTCCCGCTGTCTTAGATGGGAATGTAACTGCACCTCCTCCTTACCCACTTCCCCCCCCACCTCACAACCCAGTCAGCATAAAACTTAGAGAAAAGACAAATGTTTATCAGGGCAACTGCCAACTCCCCTGGACAACCCAGCACACGGGGCCACTCTCGGAAGCCAGGGACCTTGGGATGATCCAGCACTAGACAAAGCCACTCTGTGGCCCAAGCCCAGGGCAGTGCGCTGACACCAAGGAAGCACTGGCTGGGGCGCCGCAGGGAAGAATGCCCATCTATCTGTATCTTTTTCCTATCTTTGTTCAAGACTTTTCATAGTTAATTCTAAGAAAAATGACAAACTTTACATCCAAAAATTTTTAAATAACAAGATAAAATATTTTACTAAATATTATATTTAAGCCAGCCAGTGTGGTTCAGTGGTTGAGCGTCAACCTATGAACCAGGAGATCATGGTTAGCTTCCCAGTCAGGGCACATGCCTGGATTGTGGGCTCGATCCCCAGTGTGGGGCGTGCAGGGGGCAGCCCATCAAGGATTCTCTCTCATCATTGATGTTTCTATCTCTCTACCCTTCTCTATTCCTCTCTGAAATAAAAATATATTTAAAAAATAAAAATAAATAAATATTCTATTTAAGGCACCAATACCTTGAAGGCTTGCTCTATCTACATTTTAAAAAATTAAAAATTCTACCATGAACCTAACATTTAAAATTTGGTAACCTTAACAGATAACTTTTTTTTAAAAGATGCATATGAAATACGCTTATGTCCAATATTACAGTTTAAGAAAATGGAGTCTCAGGTAGAACACTGTACCTTTATGGACTTCTGGTTCACTTTATAGTTCCCTCGGCTCAGCTTCTGCAGGGCGCGGTAGGCGTCTTGCCTATGCACCATAACAATGTAGGCACAGCCTCTGGGAGGAATCATCTGCTCCAGGAGATTTCCGTGTGGGAAAATATGGGCACAACATCAAAGAACAACAAGATACAAGTCACCAGTTCCAACAGCCCAGCCAGACCCATCTCCCCGGTCATGCCAGCACTCCGTCGCCGGAGAGTAAACACCTCGTCAACTGGCAATGTACGTTTGGTCTCAGTTGCCAGTTATTAAGGAGCCTACAGTCCCCTAAGCTTTATTACATAAGGACTTTTCTAGAAAAAGGTTTTAAACGTGGTTATTAAAGATACATGATTAAAAGCAGAGAATGCTAAACACGGACTCAGAACCCCTCAACTCTAGCCACATTGTCTACAAAACCTGGGCAAATGTTACCTGAGGTCCCAATCCTTAATTTTATGAAATGACAATCACATCTGTCCACTGTCATTAAGTAATTTAATAAATACTCACATTAATCGATTCAATTGGACCAAACTCTTCTAAGAGACTGGCAACGTCCTGCTGAGTCGTCCTTTTGTCCAGCTGTCCCACCCAGAGTGTAGTGCTACAAACTGAGAGTAAAGCTGTCGTCAGAAACACGCACACCTGACAGCGAACCACACTGCACCCGCCGTCAGAAAATCACTACAGAACCAAGCACGAGTTACCTCAGGCTTGAGGAGCAAGTCCCATATCCTAGTTCGTTTAAATATTCTAGAAACTGCGGCACTGCTTCCAGAATTGAAACCAGAATAGTGAACACACACAGCGTTAAAGCAAACTGCCTCCGTGGACAGACCCGAGACTGGATCCTAACCCTGAGCCCAGCCAGTACAGTGCTTGCATTCGCCGTGCGCACCGGCCCTCCACCTGCCGAGCGTGCCCCAGGCAACAAGCTTCACAGAGTCAGAAGCCTCGTATCTGCCCAGGCCACCAATGACGACATCCGGTTAGCTCCGGATGCAGCACACACACTATTACACAGACTTCATGCACATATTCAGGAAGTAATGCAAGATAATGCCGTCTATACTAGGAAATCTTCAGAAAAGAAAGAGGGGATTAGTGATTCTAGGGGAAAAGGTAAATAAAACCTTCCCACTGTGCATGAGGTTGGCTAGAATCTATTTCCCACACTCACTCCTCACTGCTGCTTTACAGCTGGCTTAACGAAAAAGCAAATCCAAGAGTATACAGTCAACTAATGAGACACGATAAAGCAGTGTTTTGCTAACAATTAGGAAACACTTTAAATCCACGACATAAAGAAATCCTGCAGAAGCCTGACTGCAAAGGGGAACGTACCGCTCGCGGTCTCGGACTTGACGGGAGGAAGGCCTTTCTGCCGGCGCTCTCTCTCTTTCTCTCGGTCCCGTCTTTCTTGGGATCGAGAGCGAGGAGAATGGCGCCGTCTGTCCCGGGACCGAGATCGAGAGCGTCGATGCCGAGACCGTCGAGATCTAGAACCAGATCGAGAGCGCCTCCTTTTTGGTGACCTAATATTTTCAGGAGGAAGAATGGACAGCACACGAAGAAAGTGTTAAGCATGTAAGCACGTGTTAATTTGAAGAAGAAATAAAAACATAAAGCAGGTAATTTAATGTGTGAATACATAAGAAACTGACAGCAGGGAAAGAGTCTATTGAAATGACTAAAGAAAGAAGGCTGGCAGTTTATGGAAGTGCTCTCACCGTCGACGCCTCCGGTGCTGCACTAACTACATGCCTGCAGTCACAGCTGTTACCTACCTTCTCAGCCAGCCCTCTTTGCTGCAGCGATTACAATGCCGTGTAAACGATCTGTACACAGGCGTCCCAGGGAACAAATGTGGGTAAGACCACTGACCTCAGAATGGTTTGCAAGTACTTCTGCTCCAACTCACACACAGGCACACAAATACACCAAGTGATATTTATTCACCCAACTCGGAACCAATCCAACTCTATGTCTCCTAAGACACATAGAATTGGAAAAACATTTTCCATAAATTACCTGGATGCTGACCTAGATCTCGACTTTCTGTTATCAGACATATGCCGCTTCACCTCTTGAATACAAGGCTGTTCTACTTTCATTTCCTTTAAAAACAAAACAAACAGCTATCATTAAATGAGAAAAGGAAAATTATAAATAAGGCACAGGACAAAACCTAAAAACATTCCATTCCAGTCTCCTGACCTGAAGCAGTTCTCTTTGGGTTACTTGAGACCCAATGGCCTTCAGTGTAAGAACCTTTACATTGTTTATGAGGCCAGAGGACACACTCTCCTTTCGGAAATGACTGCGTGCAGGTGACACACTGTTTCCATAGGCCATCCTGAGGTACTTGTTAAGCATTCTATACTCTATCCCAATCCTCAATCACGCCCATTTTACAGATGAGAACGTGGGGCACAGAGAGGCACGTGTGTGTCCAAGGTCAGTCTTTCTTCACATTCAAAACTGCAGATGACAAGCCAACAGGCAGGAACCAGAACATCAGTCCCGGCACCGAAGGTCCTCAACGGCGGGAAGGGAGCTTTTACCTGCTGGGCTTTCTGTGCGAGCGGCTCACTGGGGGCCGGGAAGGGGGCCTGGAACGGCTGCTGCACGGGGGCAGCGGGAGGAAGCACAGGTGGAGCCAGGGCAGGGAACGCAGGCGGGGGCAGAAGGCTGAACCCCGGCATCTGTCCATTAGGAGGAAGTGGAACCTTGGTTTTGAAAGAAAGGGTATGCGTAGATTTTAAATAATAGCTACCAAAAACAAATTTTAAAGCCCCGCCTTTAATATGAAATTAAAATACTTTCAAATAAATTTTTATCAAGGAAAAATAATGATACACAACAGTAATTAGCAAATTCCACAAATAATCATTACTCAAAGAACTGTTACATATCCAAGTATATATGCAGGTTAAAAACCCCATGACTCATTTTAAAATTATAAACACACAGGTTTGGGGTTTATATATTTAAAGATATAACTTCACTTATTGTGAGGAAACCATGTGACAGACTGAACTTAAAATCAGAGATTCTCTGATTTTTGGAAGAGGCTAGAAGCACTGGCTTGTAGGTTCATTCTTTAAAAAATGGAAGTCTCTAAGGAGACTTTCATCCAACATGCCTACTTTTAGGATTTCAAATATAACAATGAGAGTAAACCACAACTTAACATATTTCTGCATGTGCCATTCCAATGTCAATACAATTACAAATATAATTATGTCACAAAAGAAGTATTCTTTCTAAACTATTTATAAACTTTCAGTAACTGTTAAAACATTTGGAAATAAGTTCATAGGTTTTCTTCATATTTTAAATAGGCTTATAAAATACTTTTCAAACTTCATCAAGTCATTAAAATATCGCTATCAACTTCCTGTTACCAAATGTGTAAAATGGACTGAGGGCGATGCGAGTAAGATGCGTACAGTCGGGACAGATTTCTCAGAACCTCGCCTGAACTCGGGCCATCAGGTGTTATTCCCAGGACTAGCTGCACAGCAGAATCACTGCACAATTAAAACCAGTCTCTGGATTCACTGGAGCACTGGAGGGCCAGGATTTGCACTTTTTAAAAACTGTTTTATTGACTTTAGAGAGAGAAGGATGGAAACAGCGATGAGAGAAACATCTCGATTGGCTATCTCCTAAACACCCCCTGGGGTCGAGCCCACAACCTGGGCATGGGCCCTGACCAGGAAGCGAACCGGTGACCTCTGGGTGCATGGATCAATGCTTAGCCACCGAGCGCACCTTCCGAGCAGCATTTGCATTTTTTAAAATGCCCCTCCCTGCCCCCATTTACTGAAATGCATAGTCAAGCTTAAGAAACTCTGAATTCGAGGATTTACTAAAATAAATCCAATGAAATCTCTACCCATTGCCTGCGATTCCCGTGCGCTGTGCTCCTTCCAGTGCTGCCTCCAGCCCACACCTGCCTGCCGAGCCGAAGGCCTCGGAAGCATCTCCTCACACACGGAGCAGGCTCCTCGGCGGGAGAGCGCTGCCGCTAACAGGCCAGCTCCCTGACACAGGCCGGGGCCTGCTGCTCCCTACACTACTTTACAGCAATGCTTGCTATTAAGTTAGGAGCATGGAAGATCTGGCATCCTTGTTTTAATTAAAGCAAAAAGCAACTCAAATCCGTGATGTGCTCAACAGTGTTTACTGCAGTTGTGGTGCTACCTATCCAATCAGGCCGCTGAATGGGGGTCTGTGAGGTGCAGCCCGCAGGCTGGGATGAGCATCTGTAGACATAAAACTCAGCTGCAAGAAACACACCTGTACCTGATGGTGCACTGGGTCCTGTTGCATTGCCATCATCGGCGGCTGAAACGGATCCATATTCTGATGTTGGGGATACGCTGGTTGCTGCATGCCATCTCCAGGATACCCACTGAAAAAGCATGAGTGATCCTTTTACCCAGTCCAAAACACACGCCTCACTTATACAGAAATATAAAGAATGTTCTCCAGGAATCATTGATAATCAACAATTTACTGAATCGTCTATTTGCCTACATACTAACTAATACACTGAGCACCGTTCCCAACATAAAAGCCATTTTTTTGGTACATTTTTTAGGATCCCTTCCTCATGTGGGAGAAAACCCAAAATATCATTTTTTAAAAAGACAAGGACTGTATATGGAAAACGATCTTGCCACTCCATGTTCCTATCCTGTGCCTGTGAACACACTGACTCCACGCGCACTGAGGGACGGACACTCACAAGGGCGCCTGCGGTGGAGACGCAGCGGGCACGGCAGCAGCGGGCGGGGCCGGGGCAGCAGCAGGTGCGGCAGCAGCAGAGGTGGTACTGGCAGGGGGGGGAGCAGGGGCCGGGGCAGCAGCAGGTGCGGCAGCAGCAGAGGTGGTACTGGCAGCAGCGGCAGCAGCATCTTCTTTCTTCGATTCTTCCACAGCTTCTGGCTCATCGTCATAATCAAATCGATCAAGTAGCTTCTGCAACAGGGATGTTGGTTTTCCACTTTAAAATTCCGACAGCATTCAGTGCACAAAAACTTCATAAAAACAACAGATGTTCCCACCACCTCTAATCCTACCACACTGTCACGTACAATCTCATTTTCCCACGTGCCCCTAGGAGCTGGTTCACAGACAAACCATTTTTACACAAATGCCATTTGAAAAAGACAGCTTTTGTTCTGTTTTCTTCCCTAATTATAAAGGCGGCGTTTTCTTTCTGACCATCGTCTATGTGCTTACTTTATTAATTTAGCAATGTAAGTATTCTACCGAAATAGTCATGCTTCTAGACAAAAAACTTTTGGAACTTTGCATACATGACAATGGTGTCCATTTCAGCAGGCTTCAGAATGTACGAAATGCAAGATCGTCTTACCCAATTGCGATAAATGCCCACAGAAAAATGCCCAAGGCTGCCCGCCCACGAATATGTTCATATGAAAAGAAAAAGCGATGGGCACAGACAGGGCTGATGGAGAAGTCTCACCACCTGCGCACTAGCCTCTTTCTCAGAGCTTCCCGGCTCCCTTCAGATGACCAGGCACGTCCATGAGAAAAGGGACAAACGGACAAGGCACTCCACCAGACCACATGTCCAGAAGAGCCATGGAAGCCACCATCACATTTGCTCAGAAAGGAAGGAAGCTGTGCCATACACACCCGCTACTGTTTGGTAGATCGCACACACGTCCCCATCACCAAAGCGTGCGATGGGGACAGATCTTCTTCTTTTCACAAACAAGACTGAAGCTCAGGACAATGAGAATATAACCGGGACGGCACAGTCAGTGAGCGCAGACTCAGGAGGCAGACACGGTCCTTCTGACCTCAAAGCCCCAGTCTCTGGCGTCCAATGAGCAATCTCCTCTCTTACGCTGGGTCCATTCTGTTCATGGATTTCCAACCTCAAATTCCTAAATCTGTGGGGCTCTGTGATAGTTTGGCTAGAACTTTACTCAACAGAAGATTTCTGAATGAGGAAGGGACAACACATGTTTCTTTCTAATTCTAGGCCATGAGATTAAAGGTTCTTACTGTAACTGAGTGAGCCAACATGACCCAGGCATCTTGCTGTTTCACACACATTAGCTTATTTAGCCCTTGCGGCAGGCAATCAAATACAGGCGCTACCATCACTGTTTCATAGTGGTGCACACGGAATATCTAAGTAACTCAACATCAGAATAAAGCCAAATTTAAAACTCAGATCTAAATTGTCTACAAAAAAACAAAACCTATGATCTCTAAAGTTTATCACATAAATTTGTGCATTTAAAGTCTTAAGGTCTATACCTATTGCTTTGGAAAATATTTGAAACAATTAAAAAAATTATAATAATATCTATCCAAAAATACATTTTTGTTGCTTTTTAGGCACCTGAAGATCTATGAATCAGCTGAAATAAACAAACTGTTCAGTTTGACTCGCTAAAGACGGACATTTTTAGCAACAGGAAGAGCATAGAGTTCCTTTTTCCAAACGTGACATAAAAACAACCCACTTCAGGTCAAGCATTAGAGGAACTACACCTCAAAGGAACAAGATGGGGATGCCACCATCACTGCCTTCACTCAGCATGTTCCTGGAGTCCTAGCCACCAGTGCATTAAAAAAGGGGGAAGAAACAGGCAGAGATGTAGAAGAGGAAAAGTAAAACAAGTGGCTACCTACAAAAGCAGAGAACCAACTATAAAATTAGGTGTTTAATACCATGACCATTTTACAGGATAAAACAAAAATCAATAGTTTTTGCATTATGTCATCATTAACCAAATGAAATGTTATGTAACAGTAAACCTGAAAAATACCTAAGAATAAATAAAACAAATGTACTGAACACATACAAAAAAAAGACATTGTAGTATATGGATACTGTGTAAAAAACTATCAGTACTTCTTAAATTAACCCATAAACTCATGAATTCTAAAACGTATGCCAAGTTCACCTGGAAAAGTATGCTGCGCTGGTTAACTATGTGTCAACTTGGCTAGGTTATGGTGTCCAGCTGTTTGGTCAAATATTACCCTAGGTCAGCGGTTCTCAACCTGTGGGTCGAGACCCGTTTGGCGGTCGATCGACCCTTTCACAGGGGTCGCCTAAGACCATCCTGCATATCAGATATTTACATGACGATTCATAACAGTAGCAACATGACAGTTATGAAGTAGCAACGAAAATAATTTTATGGTTGGGTCACAACATGAGGAACTGTATTTAAAGGGCCAGGAGGTTGAGAACCACTGCCCTAGAGGAACTGTGAAGATATTTTTAATGTGACTAATGTTTATATTAGTGGGCTCTGAATGAAGAAATACCCTCCATTACTTGAGTGGCCCCAACCAATCAGTTGAACTTAGGTTTCCTGAAGAAGGAATCCTCAAGACGCAACACAGAGCCGTGCCCTTTGGGATGCAGACTCAAGACTCGAACAGTAACTCTCCCCCGAGTGTCCAGCCTCCAGTCTGCCCTACGAAGGTCAACTCTGCAAGCCTCCACTCCACAACTGCATGAGTCAAAACCTCAGCAATCAACCACCCTCCCTCTGTCCTTCCCGTCCTCTGGGTGGACGCTGTGTGTATAAACTGGCTCGGTTTCCCTGGAGAACCCTGACTATAATCTTGGCTCAAGAACAGCTAAAGAAAACCTGGGGGGGGGGGGGGGGCGCTTAATACCTGGAAATAAAATATGGCATATAAGTTACAAGTACTTAAATTATAATGCAAAATAAACAAATACATTAGTGGGACAGAACAGTGTCTAGAGCAGCGGTTCTCAACCTGTGGATCGCAACCCCTTTGGCGGTCGAACGACCCTTTCACAGGGGTCGCCTAAGACCATCCTGCATATCAGATATTTACATTACAATTCAGAACAGTAGCAACATTACAGTTATGAAGTAGCAACGAAAATAATTTTATGGTTGGGTCACAACATGAGGAGCTGTATTTAAAGGGCCAGAAGGTTGAGAAAACCACTGGTCTAGAGATAGGCATAGAGATAAATGAGAATTTAGTCTCAGATAAAAACAGTGAGGGAAAATTAGTTCTTTCTAAAACTATAAAGATTTAACTATCTTGAACCATATTCTAAAGTAGGTTCCAAAAGAACCAAAGAGACAAATGTAAAAAACAAAAATATAAAACCACTAGAAGAAAATATAAAATTCAAAAAAAAAAATACAGGTGGGAAGGCTTCCTAATCAAAACACAAAGTAGAAATTGAGTAAAACCACAGAATGGAAGCATTTACACTCACATGTACATGGAAATAGTTCTGAAAGCACACACAGGTCTGCTCAGAGAAGCGGGTTGGAGCACACTGCATTATTCGTGTTCTCCCCTCCCACAGTGGAGGGCTTTTGCACTCACGCATTTTATCCAACCTGCTTCTAACCAGTGGTCATTCATAGATTCCCAAGACAGAGCACAGCCCTGGCCGGCAGCTCAGCTGGTGAGCGCCACCCTGCTGCACCAAGACTGCAGGTTCATCCCGGTCAGGGCACATGCAAGAGCCAACCAATGAGTGCACACATGGGAGCACAACAAGCGGGTGTTTCTCTCTTTCCCCTTCCTCTCTATAAAATAAAATCCATAAAAATCAATCAATCACCAAGACACAATGACAACCAGTGTTTACTGCAGAGTCTTAATTTGAACGACCAGCATATTTTACATAAGATATAATGAAACTTATTATATCTTATAATTAGAATGCTGGAGAGAAATGAGAAATCTCACAGATGATTAAAAGTTATCATTTATTTCTAGGACCTTCAAACTTGTGCTTTTTGTAGTGAAACCTGTAAAACGAAATAAAATGTTATACAGCCTTAAACCCACAAAAAGGAAGATATGAGACGACCGGAGTGGAGTTATCTGGGTTAACATTTCAACCCGAAGCTCGGAGCTGTGCTGATTCAGCGTATCTATACCCTGAGCGCGGCCCCTTGGAGATGCCAAGGCCAACAGAGCATGAGGACACCGCACAACCTACACCCTCGTACAGACGTGGTAACTAGGGTTGTTAACAGCAAAAGCCGGAAGCAGTGTAAACGCCTACTGAAAGGGGGACAGCTAAACAGCGATGTGTCCAGGTCACGGACCGGGGCCTAACAAGCGAAAGTGCAGACCTAAATCTATCAACCTTCACAGCACCAACACCAAGATGAGGTAAGATGATTAAGATCAGAGCGAGTGAGCTGAAAGGCATCTGTCCCCAACAAGGACACTCTGAAAAGAGGCTGAGCAAAACGTTCCCATCGTCACTCCACGCACGGGCTTAATGGTACACGGTCTGTTCACTTTCCTTTACACTGTCCACTTTTATTTTTCATCCTTTACTTCTTTATTTACGGAAAAATTTGGAATGAGTCTATATAAATTTGTAACCAGAATTAAAACAATGTTTTGATGTTGTGGGGGAATACCTGAAAGCACAAATAATAAAACCAACAAGCCACAGAGACGCTAGCGAAGGGCCAACTTCAACATCACAAGCGAGTGACATACACACGGGTGGTGTTGTGAGAAGCGTACCTTGTCAAACGCCGTGGCCTTCTGCTCAGGCGGTGGTGCCGGAGTTGTCGTTAACTGAGCTGTGATGGCCTGAACCTGAGCCATCACAGCATTGTCAATGGCGGGAGACTGTGGTTTTGGAGGCTGCTGAAAAGTCTGAAGGATCTGCTGAAGCTTAAAGAATGGCAAAACCGATAAACCACCTCTCCAAGTGTAATCATTGCATCAAAGACATTTTACTACAAAAGCTTAAAGGTGACTCAAAATAGCATAGGCACAGAGTAAACTAGAAAAAAGAGTCAACATTTTAATACTGTTAGGTTTGCTGTGTTTGAATACAGCGAGGATACAATCTGTGTTGCTTAAAGTTAAAAATGTATGTTGACAACCCCACTGGTAGAAAATAATGGTCAAAAAGAAGAGGAAAGACACTGAATTGTGAGCAAGGTAAATATATGGTTTTGGAAAATGTAAACATCATCTCCGATTCAAGTAACTTGAAACCAGACTGCAATGTTAGACCTGTGAGCAGCACCGGCCGCTGGGCGTCCTGCGGCTCGTTCTCTTCCAAGGGCACTGCCGCTCTGTTGCCCGGCTCACTCCCCACACCCCACTCCCGCGCCGTCCAGCCCCCGGCCTTTCTAGCTGGAGAGCACCCCTTCCTCCCTCGAATGTGCTCATTGTCCGGAAGAGACACAAGGACCCACACCAGTGCCCACGGCAAGCACTCCCACTCCCGTCGGTCGCTTACCTGCTGCCCTTGGGTCGTCTGGAACAGCTGGGCCACGGCAGCAAAAGCGTCCGAACTGGGCAGCTGCTGGACGGGTGGCACAGAGTTTGTAGTGACCAGTGGGGGTTCAGAAGAAACTTTAACTGGAGGAGGCGGCGAACCTAAGAAAGAAGAGGTCATGAAGGACTAAGAACACGTCAACCTGCCAATTTTTTTTTACGCTCCGTTAAGCTTCTTCCCCAAAACAGCGTCCGTTCAGTTTAACTCAGAGAAAAACAGAGAGTGCGCTGCTAGAGTCGATGCTGGAACAAGTGCGGGAAGGGCCGCGTCTTCATTACGAATAATTACGGGAAGAAGCCATCCCTCCACGATGTGACGCGAGCTCCAGCTTCCTCCAGGGAAAAGTCCGCAGTGGACACAGACCCGCCCCTCGTGCAGGGGCCCCGCCCACGGCTCAGAGCCGCTCACCTTCATTGTTAGCGACGCTGTCGGCCCCCGGGATGGCGCTGCTGCTCCCCGCGGCCATGTCCAGAAGGGGCTGGATAATTTCAATTTTAAAGACTCCATTTTTTTGCCAAAGGTTCAGCACACGGACTATTTTACTCTGTTATGTGTGAGAAAACGTGAATACACAATTAATATTTGCATAAGTAATTTATTACACCTTACCAAAAAAAAGAGAGAAATACAATAACCTCACGCCAATTTTTCCATACTAAGCCATTTCTTTGTGTGTGTGTTTTTCTTAAATATATTTTTATTGATTCCATAGAGGAAGGGAGGAGAGAGAGATAGAAACATCAATGATGACAGAGAATCATTTGATCGGCTCCCTCCTGCACACCCCACACTGGGGATCGAGCCTGCAACCTGGGCATGTGCCCCTGACTGGAATCAAACCTGGGACCCTTCAATCCGCAGGCCAATGCTCCATCCACTGAGACAAACTGGCTAGGGCCTAGGAAAATAAAATCTATTGTCAGAATCACAGCCTCATTCAACTAATCAGCCTTTCTTCAGCAGTATAATCTACAATATGAAACAGAGAAGGGGAAAAAGGAAACAGAAAAGTAATATAACCTACAGAATCAAAAGAAATTGATTACTTAATAATAGAGAAATGTTATTTAAAATTTTCAGACTTTATTTATGGTTAAAAAGAAACCCCATCCATCACTGACAAAAAAAGTTATAGAACTGAAGAATTTAATTAGGATGATTATAACAACTGCGACAGTTAAGAAACTGACCAGTAGTGGATAGGCAAGCAGTTTGTGGACAGGTAAATATGAAGGACCTGAGAGGTGTTATTTAGGGCGTAACTCTCGTCTCCTACTCAAGGACTGAGGCTCTTCTTTCTTCGTGTGTACTTTTCCCACAAGAGCACCCTCCAATATACACACAGAACCCACACACTCAGATGCACGTGCTGTTTACTGTAAAGGTCTCCATTCTTCACGACTCGGAAGAGACTCACCAGTGCCCTGCTCCCGCCTCCTGGAGTCCCTGCCGGTAGAGCCAGCTACGCACGTGCGGAATCGGATACTGCAGTCTGGCTGCTAACGAATACCGCTGATGCTCCCGCACCTCTGTATGCCAGGCAGAGCCACCCAGTACTGCCCCTTCCTTCTGGAATGCGCAGCCATCTGAGATGAGCCCTGCCTTTCTCTACCACAGAATGTCCTTATCACTCAACTACAAGTGAATCTTTCCAACAATGTCTTCTTTAAAACACAATGGTCCTGCCGCCCTACCGGTTTGGTTCAGTGGATAGAGCATCAGCCTGTGGACTGAAGGGTCCCAGGTTCAATTCTGGTCAAAGGCATGTACCTTGATTGCAGGCACATCCCTAGTAGGGAGTGTGCAGGAGGCAGCTGATCGATGTTTCTAACTCTCTATCCCTCTCTACTCCTCTCTATAAAAAATCAATAAAATATATTTTTTTAAAACACACACACACAAAACCCCCACAATGGTCCTGCCCAGCCAGTGTGGCTCAGTGGTTGAGTGTCAACCTATGAACCAGAAAGTAGTGGTTCAATTCCAGGTCAGGGCACATGCCCGGGTTGTGGGCTTGATCCCCAGTAGGGGGTGTGTGCAGGAGGCAGCCAATCAATGATTCTCTCTCATCACTGATGTTTCCATCTCTCGCCTTCTCCCTTTCTCGCTGAAATCAGTAAGAAATATTAAAAAAAAAAAAAACAAGCAAAAACCACAATGGTGCTTTCATATTTCAACAATATGACTTTCCTAAAGAATTTTACAAGAAAGATAAATATGAGAAAAAACTATAGAAAAAACTGGATTTTGTTTCAAGTTCAGAGATTACTATGATTTCTTTCTAATACTACAATAGGCTTCAAATAGCTAAAATACATTTAAACAGATCCAAATAAATATAAATGAAAACAAAAGTTTTAATTAAAAAATTAACTATATTAACTATACCTTATCTTCAGATGGACAAAGATATAAATATTGGAATGTGGCGGTTATGTTTTTAGAGAATCTTGGCCCAAAAACATCTTTATCAGTTCCAAACTGGTGACGGGACTGTCGTACAATTGAGTCGATTACGTATAACCCTGGAACCTTGTATTCTGGTTTACACTACAAAGATAAAGATGTAAAGTCAATACAAGAAAGCAATTTGACACCCATTAATCTCACGTTAATGAAACTGTATACTAATGGTTCTATTTAGAAACGACTCGAATGTTTAGCTGTCTTAATGGCCAGCTTGTCAACTTCCCAGTCTATACAGCGCTGCTATTTTCTTGGTACTTCAGACCCCGTACTTTACTTTTCTCTGATACCCTACCTCCCACAACAACTTCCCAGAATCATCATTACTTTACCAACCCCTACACCAATTCCATACAAATCCAATTCATCCTGCTCAAAACAATAAATTTTACCTTTTAAAATTGCGAAAAAGATAATTTTAACAATGTATCCATTTTAATTCTGTTCAAGTACAGTGCCAGAAAAACAAAAACCAAAAGGGAAGGTTTTTGGCCTATGAAACGGAAAAGATAAAAGTAATAGAGAAACAGATACTACGTACATTCCAGTGATATAACCTTTATGGGAGAGGATTTGCTATAAAAGCAAAGCCTCGTTTAATCCAACAATTCTTTGTCTAGAAATTCATCCTCAGAAAAACAATGACGAGGCATCTACTCTTTCCACAAGCCAGGCACCGAGGGCAGCGTCCCACTCGGGAGCGGCTGAGTGAGCGGCGGAAACAATCACACAGCAGATCGCGCTGCAGATGTTTCTGATGAGCCCAGCGGGGACGCAGGCGATCGGTCCGCGCGTGCCCGTTCCCCTTTATGGGTGTCCACGTACAGAATCAACAGGAGCAGGTCCAAGCCTGCTCTCTGTGGTAGTGGTGGTGGTGCCCTGCCGGCACTGTCATCCCCCCATTTTGCTTATTTGTCCTGTGATCTGCCTCTCCACCTCTCGGCCACTCCTCAAAGGCCATGCATGCTATGCGTCTGCACCACACGGCACAGCGCCAGGTTGGGGAGAAGACAAAGATGCCTCCGTCTCCCTTCTCAGGACTCTGCTGAGCCACACACGAGCTCGTCACACGGCTGTAAAAATACGGCAGCACTGGAATCATGTAATTATGGGGGCGCAGGGGAAGCTGGAAAAGCTTTACAAAGTGCTTTCACTTGAAATGCTCCCAGATGAGTTACATGCCACAGAGTAACAGGGCAAAGGGCAGGAGCACGAGGCTCGGTGCGCAGGGAGCTGCTGGCGACGCCTGCTCCAAGCTCGCGCTCAGCCAACAGCGTTGCTCTAAAGTGGTTGTTTTCTTTTTAAAAAACCCTCCACAGGTTTAAAAGAACCTGCAGCGACAACTTTTTGTTTAGTGGCTTTACAAGAAAGCATCCAAATTACAATTTACCAAGTAAATTACAAATACTGAACATAACTAAAATGAGGTAATAATTAAATGGATACTTACCTTTTTGATGAACTTTTCCACTATTTGAACTACATGCTTATAAAGCTAAAAAGAATTAAAAGAAAATTATTGTCCAGTTTACATATTTCTACATTTCCTGCAATGTAATTAGAAAATACTTAAAACCTTAAAATTTGCATTATTTAAATAATTCTCAAGATATAAACACCATATATATGATTTCACTTTTATGTGGAATCTAATAAACTAAACTAACAACAACAGAAAGATTATACTGAATAAACCATCAGAAATAATCTAGCCAACAATTGAAAAAAAAATCAGAAATTAACTAAAGCACAAAACTACAACCCTCCAACCCCAAAGAGAAGCCTTTTCCTTAGATTTTTAAATCAATAAACCTTCACAAAGCAGCATCTGAGAGCTGGGGACAATGGAACTGGAACTAAATGATGCAGTTTCTAAAATTAGGTGTGATCTTGGGTAAGAAATTTAATTTCGCGGAGCCCAAGTCTTTGTTTTAAAATAAAAATAAAAATGAAGCTAACACTCAGCTGATTTACGGCAAGAATGAAATGAAGTAAGAATCCGTGCCGCTCTGCCCTCTGCTCTGGGAGCGGAGACTTTCTAGGACCACACGCCCCACAGCTGCCATCGGAGGGCTGGTGTGCGCAGCGTGACCGCGGCCATCGTTAAGCAATGTGTGTCATCAGATCATCATGTGTTACTACGTATTATTAACTACTTATAATTTTTATTTAATTATACCTCAATAAAACTGGAAAATATACAAGGGAAATGCTAACAACAACAAGAAGGGAGACCCGTTTTGAAGCAGCATCACACTGCAAACACCCCACACAATTGCCCTGAACCCGCAGCAAAAGCTGGTGAGCGCTCTCTGGTTCAGGTTGAATGAATTCACAAGATGAATTCTCATGTTTAATAAGTTTCAAAATTTCAAAAACATTTTTCAAATTAAATGTTCATTTTGCTCTTACCTTAATGGCTTTAATAGCAGCTTTTGTGATGAGAATCATCTTGGCTCGAGAGATGGGAGGTTTCATATCCATAAGTGAAAAGAGCTTAAAAAAAAAATAAGCAAAATATAAAATAAAAAATGTGTTTAATTAAAGGTAAAATGAGAAGTCAATTCACCAGTTCTACAAGATGTTTGCAATTTATTAACTAACACAGTAACAAACTTTTGGAACTAAGTTTAAAAATTTGGCTAGTAAAGAAAAATAAAGAGCTTTCCTACATATCTGCACTGCCACTCAGAAAACACAATGGGAAAAGATCACATTAAAATAGAAAAAACAACAACAAAACAGCAAAAAGACCCTGGCCAGTGGGTCAGTGCTAGAGCGGCGGCCTGGGCACAGAAGGGTCGCGATTTCCATTCTCAGCCAAGGGCACGTGCCTGCTTTGCAGGTTTGCTCCCCACCCCTGGTTGGGGTGCATGCAGGAGGCAGCCAGACAATGTGTCACTCTCACAGTGATATTTCTCTCTCTTCCCCTAACCCTGCCCCCCCTTCCACTTTCTCCAAAAAGCAATGGAAAAAATATCCTCAGTTGAGGATTAACAACAACAAAAGCAATAAAAGGCAAAAAAATTACGAAATGTACAGAACCTAGAATAGAAACTTATTCCACCTACTGACGGACACCGTTTTCCTGGCTGAAAGTGGCAACAGTGTGATCCCATATATAACGTTCTTCAACCCAAACTCCCTGAGACCGTGGAGAAGTCAAACCATCTAAGATTCATTTGGAGAAACACGTCTTAAAATCAAACAAGAAATTTAAAATGCCATTTTAAAGCTGGAATCCACAATTTCTTGACTTATTCAGGAACAACAACCACATTTAACAAATCACACAACAGTAAATCAACACTACAAACCTCACTGAGATTTTGTGAGAGTTTAAATCCACCGAGACATAATGAACCCACAGGTTATAAAGATAAAATCCTGACATTAAGACCCTTATATATAGCTTCCTAAATTGTTGTTTCTGTTTTGCTTAATCATAGGCACATACTGAGTTTGTGGGACTTCTAAAAGGCTATTTTGAAATAAACATTATCAACCTTACATGAATCAGATTTCTTGTTTCTTCCCAATTAATGTTAATATTGCAAATATAGAGTTTCCAAGATATAGACTTTATTACTAGACTGCTTCTAAGAAGCTAGCCTAGCCCGGCCGGTGTGGCTCAGAGGTTGAGTGTCGACCTACGAACTAGAAGGAGGTCACGGTTCGATTCCTGGTGGGGGCATGTGCCCGGGTTGCAGGCTCGACCCTGTGTGGGGTAAGCTGGAGGCAGCTGATCAATGATTCTCTCATCATTGATGTTTCTATCTCACTCTCCCTCTCCCTTCCTCTCTGAAATCAATATAAATCAATCAATCAATCAATCAATCAATCTAGCCTAAAGAACAGTCTAATTTCCCAGAGGAACAGCCCTACTTGGCAACATATTCTAAAATGTAGAATTTTTTCATAAATAATATTAAGACACAGAAAATAAAAGAAACGAAGATGCTAACACAGAAATCCATTTTTTTAAAAAGAAACATCTAAATAAATAAGGTCATGGTTCTTTATTATTTTATTTACCAACATAATAAAAATTCTTGAGAATGCTCACTAATTGAAAAACAATTAGAAAGAAGATAGTAATCTCTGAGATTATATAAGTCAATTGAAAAACATGAAAAATTTAAAATATTTCAACTTAAATACAAATTCTAAAAAAAAATTTAAAAAAATTTAAAAATTTTAAAATATCAATACTGTATGAAATATAAAAAAACACATTTATAAAGGGAATATTCTGACCACTTATAAATTATAAAATTTATTAGGACAGTTATTACTATTCTATTTCTTTCTTTGTACCTTAAAGTAGAGAAAAGGGGGTGCAAAAATAAATTTATATATGGGTCTTAAGAATGAGCAACAGTGAAATTACTTCTCTGGCCATTAAAAGCTTAGAGGATCATTTTAATGAAGCCTACGCCAGAACTAATATTCATTTAATGTCCAAACAGGACTTCTTTATTATTTCAGCAGTAAGTAACTTGCCATAAAAAAATAAAAATAAAAAACAACAAAAAACAGCCAACTGAGCTTACAAGACAGACCAGATCAGTGTATCTTCTGATGAAATACCCCACATAATCTATATATTTAAATTATCATAATTTATTTTAAAAGTTAAAATACTGTACAGACTATTGTACCATGTAGCAGTACCATATTCCAGGCGAAAAGACCAGCGAGAGAACCTTCAAGTGCTCTCATCTAAGGTGCAGAGGAAGGGTGTTGTCACACTCCCTAAAGCTGCGGTCGCCAACAGGTGATCTGCAGACCCCTGGTGGTCCGTGAGGTCCAATAGGTTGGCGACCGCTGCCCTAAAGAAGAAACTTGGGCCCTGACCGGTTTGGCTCAGTGGATAGAGCGTCGGCCTGCGGACTGAAGGGTCCCAGGTTTGGTTCCGGTCAAGGGCATGTACCTTGGTTGCGGGTACATCCCCAGTAGGGGGTGTGCAGGAGGCAGCTGATCAATGTTTCTCTCTCATTGATGTTTCTAACTCTCTATCCCTCTCCCTTCCTCTCTGTAAAAAATCAATAAAAATATATTTTTTTTAAAAAGAGAGACTTGGGAAGAGGCAGCCAGCATCTGAGTGCCTGCTATGAATCAGGAAGAACTGAGTTTGGAGGTACACTATTTTATTGAATTACTAGAGGCCCGGTGCATGAAAGTCGTGCAGGGGTAGGGTCTCTGGGCCTGGCCTGCGATCAGGGCCAATCTGCGGGGTGAGCAGCGGGGCGATCAGGGGGCCTCCTTGGGCACCCACCTTGGCTGGCCTGGGGCCTGCGGGAAGCTCCTGCATTGAGTGTCTTCCCCCTGGTGGTCAGTGCGCATCACAGCGACAGGTCATTCCACCAGTCGTTCTGCCGTTTGGTCAATTTGCACCTTAGGCTTTTATTATATAGGATATTAACAACTAACATAGATGCTGTTACACTTGTTGAGATGATCCTCAAAAGGGTTACATCTGTTTTAGATGATGCCCAGAGAGTGGTCTCAACTAAAATTTGTTGAAAGCTCATTCATAATCCCTAATAGCATACTCATGCCCTTACAGAATGTTGCTTACAGAATACAGACACAATAATAAGCAGGCATCCATGCCTGTCTATATCCTGCATTGGTCCAGGGATAGTATAATGAAACATACTGAATTCAATTTGGGCAGCCTACTCAATACCCAGGCAGAGACTGGAATGTGGATCTTGAACACAGAAGAGAGATCCATGCTGAGAACTGAAAAGTCACAAAATCAAAGGCAGGAGGACAGGTGAGAGGACCGTAATAGCGAGAAGGGGCCGGGAACATATGCCTCGCCAGGGTACATACCAAAAATGCCAACGTGGCTCAGAGAGGGGGCTTCCTGAGCAAGCACCAAGACGACTGATGCCAGAAATTAAAGGCATTTGCAAGGTCAATGCTGTGAGGCTAGGATCCAAACTTTGCTCATTCCCCTTGACAATTAGGTGGCTGAAGTGATACCAGTTTTTGAAAGTGATTTCAAAGTTCAACTGGTTAAGGAATAAGTGGCAGGTGAGAGAGCAGAAATGCAATATTGGACCATTTTTCCTTCCTTCAACAACTATTTGAGAGCTTAGTGAGGGTGGTATTGTCAGCTCCGTGTCTGGCACATAGAGGAAACAGTCATCTTGCAGAGCCCTACAGTGACCACTCTTAAAACAGCTCTGATAAGGCTTCCATCATAGTTAAGTATCTCTTTAGATGCTGTTTACTTTGCTTTACCAATGTCTTTCTTAAGTTTTAAATCTGAAAATTTGTATTTGATATAGGTAATTTATGAAGAAAAACACGAGGAGATATAGAAGCTTCAAAACTGGAGGTTTAAAAAATTACCTTTAAAAACTCAATAGATGTTACTAATATTTCATTGACTTCTTGAAGGCACAAATTCAGCACACAGGTCCCCTCATATTTAGATCAATGCCTTCATTAGATATAGTGATCGATCCCAAAATTAGGGTGAAATTGATATACTTTACAGTAACTATGCAGATTGACACTTCTTATTTGGATAGAAAAATTAACAGCCTTTATGATGAGGTAGATATAATTCCATTTTACAGATGAGAACACTAAGGCACAGAAGTTCAAGAATCTACTCCAAGCCATAAAGCTAATTGATAGTAAATTCAATCTGTGGCCTACATTTCCCAAAGCTCAGATTCCTTCCAATAAGCACCTAACAAAAAGGAAATTACTTAAAATACTCTAATAACGTTAGCACATGAGAACAGTGCAGATATTAAAGACAATAAAGACTATAGAGCAAAGAAAAAAATATGCATTTAGACCCAATGAAAAGGTAATAAACTGTTATAAGGGAGTGGACCTAAAGATTTTCTCAAAATATATTTTTATTGATTTCAGAGAGGAAGGGAGGGGGAGAGATAGAAACATCAATTATGACGGAGGATCATTGATTGGCTGCCTCTTGCACGCCTCACACTGGGGATCGAGCCTGCAACCAGGGCATGTACTCTAATTGGAAATCAAACTGTGACTTCCTGGCTCATAGGTCAACACTCAACCCACGGAGCCACCAGACTGTGCCCAAAGATTTTTTAGTATCAAAAAGTAAGTGGCACAGAGGTAAAGTGGTATGTCCAGCCCAGCAACGAGTAAGAATGTACCTGAATCCAGAGCGAGACTGCAATTTAATAATTCTAGCTAATAGAGGGAATATGCTAATGGACCCTCACGCCATCACAAAGATGACAGTGCCCACAGCCAATAAGGAGGGAATATGCTAATTGACTGCCCCGCCCTCAAAGATGACAGCACCCAATCCCCTCAGCCCCGCCGGGGTGGCAGGCGTAGAAAGGCCGGGTCCGCCCCCAGCCCGGCCTGGCCACTCCGCACACCTGCCTCCAGAGTCCCCCAGTCCCCTCAGCCCCCCAGGGCCGGCCAAGGCTTGCGCTGCTGGCAGTGGCAGCAGCAGAGGTGTGATGGGGCGTCGCCTTCCC